AAACAAAGTTTCATGTAATCGAAGGTGATATGAGATACAATGCGCTGCTCGAGAGACCTTTGATCCATAATATGAGGGTTGTACCTTCAACGCTTCATCAAGTCTTGAAATTCCCAACACCGGGAGGAATCAAAATGGTGTACGACGAACAACCAGCATCAAAAGAAATGTTTGCAATTGATGAGGTGGTAACAGTATCGACTCTAACATCAACAAAGGGACCAGGATCGAAGGAAAATTAGGAAGTCAAATAGCAATCACAGTCGCCGGCCTCGACCAGATCGGAACAGTAGGAAACCATCAAGGATGATGATTATATGATACCTCCAACCTTCGTAATCCCCGATGATTCCGATGCCACGAAGTCAACGGTTGAAGAGCTAGAACAAGTCATACTGATCGAGCAACCGCTCGATCTAAAGGTATACCAGGGCACGGGGTTAACTCCCGAGCTCAGGGAAAAACTCATTAATTTCCTTATTAAAAATATGGATTGTTTTGCTTGGTCCCACCTTGACATGACGGGAATCCCACCGGAAATTACCACTCATTGATTGAGTTTGGACCCGAAGTTCAGGCCGGTAAAGCAAAAGAGAAGGCCACAGTCCGAGGTTAAGCATGCATTCATCAAGGATAAGGTAACCAAACTTCTCAAAATAGGGTCCATTCGGGAAGTAAACTATCCTGAATGGCTGGAAAACGTAGTTGTAGTCCCTAAAAAGGGGAATAAACTCAGAATGTGTGTAGACTATAAAGACTTAAACAAAGTGTGCCCTAAAGATTCTTTTCCTTTGCCGAATATTGATCGTATGATCGATTCCACGGCCGGCCACGAGACCCTCACCTTTCTCGATGCCTACTCCGGGTACAATCAAATACGAATGAACCCGGAAGATCAGGAAAAGACTTCGTTCATTACTAAGTACGGTACTTATTTCTATAATGTAATGCCATTTGGATTAAAAAAATGCTAGTGCTACTTATCAACGCCTAGTGAATCGAATGTTCGAAGAACAAATAGGTAAATCAATGGAAGTCTATATTAATGACATGTTAATTAAGTTCCTGCGCGCAGAGGACTATTTGACACATTTGCAGGAAACCTTCAACATATTGAGAAAATACAACATGAAGCTCGACCCCCGAGAAATGTACGTTCGGGGTCGGTTCAGGCAATTTCCTCGGCTTTATGGTCTCAAATCGGGGAATCGAGATAAACCCCGATAAAATCAAGGCAATCGAAGACATCACAATCATTGACAGCGTTAAGGCCGTACAAATATTAACAGGGCGCATAGCCGCCTTAGGGTGGTTCATCTCGAGGTCTTTGGATCGTAGTCATAGGTTATTCCAACTGCTTAAAAGAAGAACAGTTTCACTTGGACCCCGGAATGCCAACAGGCTTTGGAAGAGTAAAAATGATATCTTTCTAGCCCCCCGTTGCTTCATACTCCGAAAGCGAACGAACAACTCTACTTATATTTGGCAGTCTCGGAAGTTCGATAAGTGGTGTCCTAGTTCGAGAAGAGCAAGGTACGCAATTTCATGTCTATTACTTTAGTAGAACTTTAGGTGAGGCCGAAACCCGGTACCCACACTTAAAAAAATTAGCGCTTGCCCTAATAAGCGCCTCTAGGAAATTAAAACCTTATTTTCAATGTCTCCCTATTTGTGTTGTAACCACCTACCCCCTTCGCAACATTTTGCACAAGCTCGAACTCTCGGGCCGACTGGCCAAATGGACTGTCGAAATCAGTGGGTACGATATCGAGTATTAACCCCAAACGACCATCAAGTCTCAAATCTTAGCAGACTTTGTGGCCGACTTCACACCAGTCCTCATACTCGAGGTCGAAAAGGAACTATTACTAAAGTCGGGTACATCCTCGGGGGTGTGGAACCTTTCACAGATGGTGCTTCAAATGTGAAGGGTCCGGTCTAGGCATCGTTTTGAAGCCACCCACAGGCAATAAGATTAGGTAGTCTATCAAAACTTTAAAATTGACTAACAATGAGGCCGAGTATGAGGTCATGATTGCAGGTCTCGAGCTAGCGAAGAGCTTGTGAGCCGATGTCATCGAGGCCAAGTGTGACTCCCAACTTGTGGTAAACCAGGTCAACAGAACTTTTGAGGTTCGGAAAGATCGGATGCAGAGGTACTTAGACAAGTTACAAGTGTCTCTACTCGATTTAAAGAATGGACGTTACAGCACGTACCTCGGGAACAGAATGGCGAGGTTGATGCCCTCGCAAATTTGGGGTCGTCGATCGAAGATAATGAACTGAGCTCAGTGATCGAAGAGGGCCATGCCAAAATAAACTCCACAAGCCTAACTTGGGATTGGAAGAATAAATATATCGAGTATCTAAAAAGCGGGAAGCTTCAATCGGATCCTAAGGAATCAAGGGCTCTTCGAACAAAGGCTGCACGATTCACATTGGCCGAAAATGGAACATTATACAGAAGGATGTTCGATGGACCGTTGGCATTATGTATAGGTCCGAGAGACACGGATTACGTTCTACGAGAAATTCACCAAGGTACTTTCGAAAACCATTCTGGTGCCGAATCACTGGTTCACAAAGTCATGAGAGTGGGATACTATTGGATCGAATGGAAAAAGACACTAAGGAATTCGTTCGAAAATGCTACAAGTGCCAAAGACATGCACCGATGATACACCAAGCCGAAGAGCAACTTCATTCGGTCCTATCACCACGGCCATTCATGAATTAGGGGATGGACATCGTCGGTCCTCTACTATCACCCTAGGTAAAGCTAAGTTCATTTTATTTATGACTGACTATTTCTCTAAATGGGTTGAAGCACAAGCTTTCGAGAAAGTCAGAGAGAAAGAAGTTATAGACTTCATCTGGGATCACATCATATGCCGATTCGGAATACCCGCCGAGATAGCATGTGACAATGGAAAGCAATTTATCTGCAACAAAATAACAAAGTTCCTCGAAGATCACAAGATAAAAAGGATATTATCAACACTGTATCATCCTAGTGGGAACGGACAGGCCGAATCAACGAACAAGACTATTATTCAGAACCTAAAGAAAAGGTTGAACGACGTTAAGGGGAAATGGAGAGAAATTCTGCCTGAAGTCCTTTGGGCATATCGGACAACAACAAAATCCAGTACGGGGGAAATGCCGTTCTCCTTAGTATATGGCGCCGAAGCTCTGATCCCGATCGAAGTCGGGGAACCAAGCGTCAGATTTCAATACACAACGGAAGAATCAAATCACGAGGCTATGAACACAAGCCTTGAATTGCTAGACGAAAAACGGGAAGCCGCACTCGTTCGAATGGCTGCCCAGAAATAGCATATCGAAAGACATTATAATCGAAGAGCCAATTTTTGACACTTCAAAATAGGGGACTTAGTTATGAGAAAAGTCACCCTAACACTCGAGATCCAAACGAGGGGAAACTCGGCCCGAACTGGGAAGGGCCATATCAGGTCCTTAGTGTCATCGGGAAGGGATCTTACAAACTTAGCACAATGGACGGCGAACAATTGCCAAATAATTGGAACATATCACTCCTCAAATTTATTGCTAAGGTATGACTTTCACTCGTTTTTCATTTGTATTTGATACTAACTTATTGCAGGTGTTCAATCGAAGACGTCGAGAAGTTCTTCAATACGAAGACCTTAGGTTTTTAAGCACGTGTTGCACTCTTTTTCCCTTAGATCGATTTTTATCCCAAATGGGTTTTTCCGGCGAGGTTTTTAACGAGGCAACAATTATTTGTGCTACTTGGGGACAATTCAATAGTATCCAAGGCTTCTTTACAATCAACCTCGAATACTGGGGGGCATCACCCTCGGATGTTATGTTCTCAAAAAAGGTATTCCGTATCAACAAGTCTCGATAGGTAAAAGTTTGTAAAGGGCCAAACGGTCGAATGAACCATGTCCTTGTAGATCACTCGGGCTCCGATGACAAAACATGTACGCATGAATGATCTATTGAAAGAAGTATTTTTTTTCTCTTTACCAGATGTTCCATGCGTTAGTGAAATTTCTACTTTGCAAATTTCTACTTTACTTATGATCTATGCGCCGATCACAACTAAAGCTCGAGCTGCTAACCCCGTACTCGGGGACTGCCGTCCAAAAATCGACATGCTCGAATTACTAGTTTTCGAGACCATAAGACCTTGTAAAGGCAACTCTCGATTTCATAGGCCACGGCCATCCCACTCGGGGACTGGTCGAACAAGTTCGAAGTACTATTGAGAAACAAGCCCAAAGGGCAAATCTCAAGTTAAAGGCTACGTTCAAACTAACACGGTTCAAAGACGTCCGAATTCCATAATAAAATAGGTCTTCAAATATTTTCACAAAATCGGTTAAACAAGGATACCCTCGGCAAACTTACAAAGGGTTTCGATAACATCAATCCTCAAAAACCTTAAGGGGTACTAAATTGTTCGAACTCTCGAACAAACTTATGCTAAGGCATAACAAAGTTTTTCGATAACTCTAACCCTCGAGAATCCTGATGGGTACAGAGTCACCTCGTGCTAAGGTATAATAAATTCTTATATAATTAATCATTTTAAGCCGAAAAGGGAAGGATCCACTCTTTTGAGGCCATATCGGCCAAATTCAAAGAGCCTAAAGGCCATTATATTTTTGGGTTCGAGGATCCACCCTCGCTCAATCGAAACCTAAGGGTTTTTTCTACTCTGGGTTCAAGCAAGAACTCACTCGATGATAGAGACTATATTCGTCCGATTTCGATCAAATAACTTAAGTTTCAGATTCGCAAACAAATGAAAATGAAAATTTTGCAAGACAACGAAGTGAGTCAAAATCCTCACAAAATATAAAGTATATAAGGCGAAAAGCAAAATAGAGTCTTCACAAAACAGAAATTGGAGACAAGTCGGAAAGAAAAAGGGATCTTTCATATATGCAAAAATATTTACAAAGACCACTCAGAGTCTTACACAAAAATCCAAAAAATAAGAAAAAATTCTAAGTGCCTAATCTTCCCCCGGGAGCCTCATCTTCATCTCCTCCACTCTCGGATCCACTCGAGCTCCCGGAACCATCATCATCAGAGAGCAAATCTTTGGCTTCGCCCTCTAACACTTTCGCGCTCTCGATATCGGCGGTAAGGTCAAAACCACGAGCATGAATCTAATCGAGAGTCTCTCTCCGAGACTGGCATTTGGCATGCTCAGCAACACAGAATGATCGAACCTGAGCAACATCAGAAATCTCCTTTGCTCGAGCGTGAGCGGCTTCAGCATCAGCTTGGTACACGGACTTGACCGCTTCCGCATCGGCCTTTACTCCTTCTGCCTCTGATGTGGCCTTTGCAAGCTCAGCGGCTAACCGAACCTCGAGCTCCTCAATTTTCTTGGCTCGAGCCAAGCTCTCCTCCTTCATGCTTTGGATTTGACGTTTGGCAAAAAATAGCTGGGCCCGAGCAGTGTCTTTCTCTGAGGCAAGGCGGTCCATATTCTGCTTCCACCCCAAAGTCTCCGCCACCTTCATCTTGGCCTCCTCGCGAAGTTGCTCGATATTTTTGACCCTCTGCTGAACCTGCAAGATTGAAGTGTTAGTCGTCGTCTTCGGATTAATAAAACGAGCTTCCAAAAAAATTGCATTACCTGCTCAATCAAGTCGGTTTGCCCTTTGTGAGCTATTGCCAATTCAGCTCGGAGGTCCTGGATCTCCTCTTCTTTTTTCCCATTAAGAAGTTTTAGGGCATCCCTCTCCTCCGTAAGCCTTTTAAGGTCAGCCTCACATCGGTTCAGCTCTGCCCGGGATTTAGAAAATGCTTCCCGATGAAGCATCAAGGCCTATGAAGAAATAAAGGAAAGTCAGACAAGAAAAAATAAAGACAAAGATAATATTGACAAAGGGAGCTAAGGCTTACCTGACTCAAAAGTCGATGGGATTCATCGAAGATACTCGGTACATCACCCAGATCGGAAGTCTCCTCGACCCCCGTAAAGTAGCCACGGAAAAGGTTTTCCCCTTTGGGGTCTGTTCCCACATCGGGGTCCTGATGGCCTGGGCTTCCTGAATTTGCCCCTTGGAAAATGTTGGGAGGGGCGAATCGCTAATGTCTATTGCCCCATGCGAGTCACTTGGGGCGTTGTCTCCATTTTGAAGGGCCTCAGAACTAGCCCCTTCAGGTACATCCACCGGCTGCCCATCACACCGGGAGGCATCCTCAGCCCCTGATGACTCGGGGACTTTGCTCGGGGCATCTTCCGAGATCCTCTCAGTTCGAGGTTGAACCTTTGCGTTCATTACCGGCTCGGCGGCCTTTGGGACCTCGGCGCTCCTCTTTCGATCCACCAGCTTGCAGGCGGCATCTTCGTTCTCCTCTTCTTCATCTCGTAGCTGCTGAACTATATTTTCAGACAGGGCGACGGCATCTTGCTTCAACTTGTGAACCTTGTTCTTTTTGGGCTTTGGAGTATCGGAAGGCGAGACCCTTTTCCTTTTCTTATTCTTAGCCGGCTTCGGGGCCTCCTCTTCCCCAGGTGGGGGCAGACTTATGACAGCATTGTCTCTGAGGCCTGTATGAAAGGAAATCAAATAAAGGAGAAATATTTCAGATAAGGGCATCAAACACGGATAGAGAAGCTTACCGTAATTTTTGGCCTCCCATCGGCCCTTTGCTGAATCACGCCACGAGCGCTCAGCGTACGAAGAGGTCGAGGCCAATTTTCGAACCCAGCCTTCAAGGTTCGGGATTACACCGGGCACCCAAGAAACCGTTGCATCATAGGAAAGGATGTCAATACGAAAAGGCAAAAGAATCAAAACGGTAGGTAGAAGCTATAGGTGGGTCTGTACTTACGCTTCATGTTCCACTCTTTAGGGAACAACATCTTCTCGGCCGGAATCATGTCAGAAGTCCTCACTCGGACAAATCGGCCCATTCATCCTTGGTCCTTGTCTCATCTATGCTCGAGAACAGCACCTTGGTGGCCCGACGCTGAAGACTTATTAATCCGCCTCGATAGAGACGAGGGCTGTACATTCTAATGAGATGGTCGAGGGTAAAAGACATCCCCTCAACTTTGAACACGAAGAATCGAAGCAAAATAACAATGCGCCAGAAGGAAGGATGGATCTGGCCCAGGGTTATTTGGTATTGGTGGCAGAAATCAAGGATAACGGTGTTAACGGGACCCAGCGTAAAAGGATAAATGTAAACACTCAAGAACCCTTTCACATGAGTGGTGATGTCCTCATCAGGGGTCGGGATCCCCACCTATTTGCCTTCCCAATGGCAATCTTTTTTCACCTGCTTCAGGTCACCCTCAGTTATCGAGCATATGTATCTATAAATCGGCTCACATCGTCCAGGGAATGATGAGGGTTTCTCGATCTTGAAATCGGAAGTGAGATCGCACACCCCGGGACCGCACTCCTCGATACGTGGCTCCACCGGCATTTTATCGTCGGCCGGCCGCGATGAAGAAGCTTTCTCCTTTTGAGGAATGATTTTTGATGTTTTCGCCATTGTTATATAAGTTCAAAGAAAGAAGAAGATGAAACTTATTGTTTTAAGAAAAGATTGGCAAACGGAATTTGAAGAACCTACAGAATTGACAAGCTTGAAGGGAGTAGAAGAGTTTTTGAAGATTAGGAGAAATTTTGAAAGTAAAGTTTGAGAAAATTATGAAGATGATCTATTTATAATATTTGCTATGACGGTTTGATAACACTAGTGGCCGACCGTCGACGGGCGATCATTAATGATTTTAGGAACTGTACAGACGCGGCGCTTCAGTCGCTTCCGTCGCTTATGTCACGAGGGTGACGTCATAATTGGTCGAGGTACAAAATCGAAGGCTCAGTTCGTTTCTTCTCATTACACTCTAAAAAACGAGGGGACTATCTATATACGGTTAAAATCAGGCTTGCCCGATTTTGCCATTAAATCGAGACCAGGGAATAACCTCGAGGATCAGCCCCGTAATGGATCAGGCCAGAGCACGAAGACAAGGTATCGAGTTCAAGAATCGAAGTGCCCGTCGAGATCAAGGCCATCAGCAATCGAGACCTAATATGATCGACTTCGAGGGAAGCGCAATAATGGAAAGACGGAATATCCGTAACCAGTCGGAGATCACGGCGGAAATACCGGAATAAATCAAATCAAGGGCGATTGTTCAGGCTAATCATGGATTTTACTTCCGTAATTAGAATTGTACCATAACTAGGACTCCTGCTATATAAAAAGGGCCCTAATCATTTTTGTAGGACACTTACACTCATCCAGATCAAGGCAATATAATATTTCTCTCTTTCTCTGGTTTATCGGCTTGTTGTTCTTTAACTGTTCTTACTTTAATAAGCTCGAGGGTTAATCAGCTCGAGGGCATCGTCTAAGCTTTGGTTTGTTTTACATTCTTGTCAATTCTCATCATTTATCTTAAAGTCACATTATAAGTTTAATTGTTATCCACTTTTTAGGGTAAAGAATGCTATTTAGAGAGATCGTCACGTATAACACTAATTAATGCTTTGGAATATTTTCTTTCTTGTTTTCACATATTTCCATTTTTCCCAACTCTCGACCCCATAGTACTATTGAGTTTGAACTTCAGACCTTATGCTTGTGCTTGCCAACTTTAGTATGGGTCATTTGGTTCGTTTGACAAGGAGATTTAGGCCTCGTTTGTTCGTAATTTTTTTTTAAAATGTGTTTGCCCATGAATTTTGTAAATTTTTGAAAAAAATTCAAAAATAAGTTTTCCAAAACACATAAAACTTCAATACTTTTTCAAGTGAAATGCATGTTAAACATAATTTCAAATTCCAAGTACCACTTTTTAACTTAACTCAATATTTATTGTGAAAATGGTAATTACAATTAGATTTGATTTTGTGATTCTAATAATACGTGATCTATTTTTATGCTAGTTGTTTAGGCAATAGATGTTAGGTAAGAGATTAAAAAATGAGATAAGAGCTTGAAAACAAGGTGATAACCAAATCAATAGGCTGATAAGCGGGGCCTCGAGCTTGCTTATTTGGGGCCTCGAGGTCGAGTCCTATACCCTGCCGTTGGCAGGCGATGGAGGGGCTAACAGTTATGATAGATTCAATGATGGCTCTTTATGTCCAATAATAAGAAATAAATGAAGAACAATAAATAGAATACAATGAATGTAAGCAGTAAATGGAAGTAATGAGATCAAGAGAATATGTTAGAGAGCAGAGAGAATGTTCTTGTGTATTTAGTATTGAGCAACAAATGTCTACAATATGACAATGATCCCCTTTATATATGGGGGAATCCCAACATAGTACAAAATGCATTAGTTACAAAGATATGGGGCTTATACAGTCATTTAATGCCATGATACGGGTTAGAGCTAGCCTACTAGACTTTGCCAGCTCTAGTCGTGCGCCTAGGGAACTTCACATTGATCCACCGAGACCACTAATTTACATTGCCTCGAGGCCGGTCGTTACTTACACTACCTCAAAGTCGATCACCGAGAACCCTCGAGATGTCTTGATGATCGTAAAATTGAACCGTCGATTTCTACCGTATACACTCAAATAATATTTTTTTTTCAAAAAAAATAATATAATCTTTATGTCCAAACGCCTACAATCTACACATAAAATCCACCATTTTCAGAATTTTGGTTAGTTATTAATTTTTAAAAAAAAATAATGCAGGTAACAAATTGTGAAAGAATTTATATATTAATTTATACAGAATATAATGTAAAATAATAAGAATGATTGTATTAATAATGCATGGATTAGAACAAATAAAAATAAATGAAAACCAACCATTATAATAGCAAATAAACTTTTAATATATATTTTGGTTATATTGTACATTGCAATATTATTAAGTTATAACACATCAAACAGAAAATTAAAAAAAAAACCTCCTATATTGTAATCTTTATTATCCCTCATTCATTACTTCTCTCTAAATCAAACTACCTGTCGCTTCCTCATGATGCTATTTAGAGAGATCGTCACGTATAACACTAATTAACGCTTTGGAATATTTTCTTTCTTGTTTTCACATATTCCCATTTTGTCCCAACTCTCGCTCCATTTTTTGTTGTTTATTTATGCAATTATAATAGAATTAATGGGAAAAAAGGTGTGCTCAATTATGGTATACGTGACTATTTTCTTAAAAATGACAGAAGAATATCATGGAAAATGTCACTAAAGATGTGACTTACTATTTTTCGGTCACGAAGCAATAATGTTAAACATGACTATTATTTGGCCGCTAAGCATTAAGCTTGATTTTCACCCCCCAATTAGTGCCTAATCACTAGTTGGCATTGTATCAAAATTTTCAATCATACATAGAAAGTTATGGAAATGAAACATTGAAGCACGCCGTAGAAGATTTATCAGCAGATATATATTAATTAATTTCTTGCCTTCAATTATCTCCTTGTAAATAATTAATAAGATCATGAGAATAGCTGTTTCCTTGCAAATATCTTAAATATAGTATTGATTCTTCTTGAGCTAAAAAAGAAAACCTTAACAAAGTTATTCTGCACAAGATATGCTCTTTGCAAGGAATCTCTGAAAAAATTGTGTGAACTTCTTTTTAATGGAAGATTTTGCGATACCCCTTTTTTCAGTATTTTTATTTATGTGACAAATTAAACCTAGTTGCAAAATTCCCATCTCAATTTCACCTGACCACTAAACTTTCAAACAGTACAACCACCTAACACCATTACGTGTAATAACAGCCACCCAATGAAACTTCTTTCTTAGTACTATACCCAATCCGAAAAATAATTTTTTTTTTTTTTTGCTGTAAAATATTTAACGCTTTAGAAAATAAAAAAAATTTATTATTTTTGTTCATTTTTATTTTTACTGCTTCAATTAATGAGGAATTAATTAAGATATTAAGAAAAAAATAAAGAATAATTTAGATATATATTCTTATAACTACTTACCGATAATATGGACAAGGGAGTAGTATATGACATTAATACTAAATTAATGATACAATTCATTGTCATTAAGAAAGTCTATTCGGTAATTGCCGTTAGTCCACATAAGAAACTCAAAAAAAAAAAAAGAAAAAGAAAAATTGCTGACAAAAACATAAAGATGGAGTGCAGCTTCCTATATTTGACCTCTATGTAAAGTTGCAAAGTCATTTTCCTTCCCAAACCCCACAATTAGTCAATTCATCGAACCTTACCTTAGCCATCTTTCTGGTAATTGTCCCTTCTTTTTAAGCCCTTTTCCCACCAATTTTTCTCAACATAAATCCACTTAACATCAAGTCCGAATTCTCCCCATTGGAAAAGAAAAACAGAGATGGGGTTTAAAGAAGACAGAAGAACAAGAGTACTGAGATGGATCAAAACTCTGTTTTTCTTAATCTCTATGTTGATTTCTCTTCTCCTTTTCTCAGCACCAATTCTTCTTGTTATCGCTGATACCCTTCTCCCTTCAGCCCTTTTGTCTGCTTCTCTCTCCCCTTCTTCCCTCTCAATTCAAACCCTTTCTTCTCATCTAAGTAACTATGATTTCCGCTATTCTCTCATCGATATTCCCCTCATCTCCATCATTAGGTCTGCCCTCATTCTATGTAAGTTTCTTTTTTTATAACACAAATCCTCATATTTGATGTGAATATAGGCATAGTAGTTGTCACTGGCGGAGCTTCAGCCGACCAAGGGTAGTCGGTTAAATAAAGTTACTTATATACTAATTTTGTTGATGTGAATATAGGTGTTTATAGCTTATGTGATGGTCCAAGACTGTCAAGAGGGCCATATTTGGGAATTGCAACCATGTGTTCGATTTCATCGTTGGTGTTTGTGTCGTTGAAAGCTTCATATGTATTTGGGAACAGTTCAAGAATGGATAGAGAAGGGTATGTTGGGGTAATGGAAATGGCACTTTTCGTGTGTTCATTTGCTTTGGCCGTCGCACATGTGGTTGTGGCTTACAGAATTAGCTGCAGAGAAAGAAGAAAACTTCTCCTTTACAAAATTGATATTGAAGCTGTAAGTCTCCATATCACTTTCTCACCACCTATGCAAAATTTGATGACCAGATATTGCACATGTCAACTCAAAATATCGCCTACTTTAAGGGTGTGTTTGGTACCAAGTAAAATGTTTTTCTAAAATATACTTTCTTGAAAAATAAGTGATTTTCTAGTGTTTGATTAAATAGCATAAAATATTTTAAATAAATATATAATTTAGATAAACATTATGGGTAAGGGGGAAGGTCGTAAGTCCAGATCTAGGTGTCGGCGTGGCAGGGGCGAGGGTAGGAGGTTGATGGTTGGGGGTGGGAATGGGAGTAGGAGTGGAGGGTGGGGGTTGGGGGTTGGGCCGGGAAATAGGGTGTGAAGGTTGAAAAAATTGGAAAATATTTCCTTCCTTTTGGTAAGAAAAGTCATTTTCTAAAAATAAATTCATAAAAAAATATTTTTCAAATATTTAAACTAATCAAATATTAAAATATTAAAAAATATTTTCCTCCTAC